TGGTTAAGGAGGAGTTTAGGGAATTGGAGGTAGCTGAGGTTTCCTTCTATAAACATAAAGTGAAGGTTCACTGGATCTGAGAGGGGGATAAGAGTACTAAGTTTTTTCACTCTACTATGATGAAAAAGAAGAAAAAGAACACTACTAGACTTCTTTTTCATGAAATGGTGTTGGATTGGACAATTTTGATGGAATATCTGTCGAGATGGTGAGATTTTATACTGAGCTTCTCAGCTCGGAGGATGATAGTGTTCAAGGCTGTTATGTTGAGATTCTTAAGGAGTTGTTAGGCTTTGAGTTGCCTCAGGGAGCTGAAGGCGATTTGTTGAGAAATGTCTCTTTTGAGGAAATTAAATATGCCTTGTTTAAACAAATAAACAAGAAAAACTCAGGGTCTGATGAATATATTGCCTTCTTTTTCAAGGTGACGGGGGATATAGTGAAGAATGATTTCTTAGGTGTTGTTAAGGAATTTTTTCATACAAGTTCTCTTCTCCATGCTTTTAATGCTACGTCTATTGTTTTGGTGCCTAAAGTTTCTAATGTAAGTAGAGCTAGGGAGTTTCGTCCTATTTCACGTTTTTTAGTGGTGTATAAGATTATTTTCAATATTCTTGTTAGTAGACTAGTTAGTCACTTCCCTAGTATGATTTATCAAATCAGTCTGCATTTATTAAAAGACGTAGTATTGTTGATAACACATTACTTGCTCAAGAGCTTGTGAAAGGTTACTCTCGCAACACCATGTCTCCCAGATGTCTCCTTAAGGTTGACTTAAGAAAGACTTTTGATTATGTTAGTTAGAACTTCCTGATGAATGTATTGGTTGCTTTGGGGCTTCCTGATGTCTTTAGGGGTGGATTAAAAGTTGTGTCACCAGTGTTTGCTTTTTTGTTGCTTTAATGGTAGTTTAGTTGTGTCATCAGGTGAAGCAACTTTGTATTCGGTTTTTCTCAAAAGGTGATGAATTGCTAGCTAGGGGGTTAAGGTTAAATGGCAATAAGTTTGTGGTCTTAAATCAGAGGGTGGATTAGGGCTGAAGAGTCTGGACTATTGGAGTAGGGTGTGTTGCTTTATTTTGATTAAGATTATCCTTGTTAGTGAAGGCTCTCTTTAGGTAACTTGAGTTAAGGAGTATGTTTTAAAAGGGGAGGAATTCAAGGTTGTGAGATATAAACCCTATTTTAGTTAGATTTTAAAAAACACTTAAAGCTTCAGAGTGAGGCGAGGTACTTGTTTGCTAATGTGTTGCATCGAAATGAGGTTGGTGGATGACGGATTTAGGAGAGAATTCATGAAAGGAAAGACAGAGTTCATTGGGAAAATCTTATATGGTTTATTTTGCATATCCCAAAAATGTTTGTTGTTTCTTGGATGATTATTTTGAATCAGAGCCTACTAAAGAGAGGCTTATTCGGATGGAATGGGGTTATGTTGTTTGTGTGGGGTGGTGATAGAGAGTATAGATCATATTTTTGGTGATTGCTTTTTTGCTTGTCAGGTTTGGAGTCGTGTTTTGCAGGCATGTAATCTTCCTGGCATATTGACATGTTGGGAAGAGGCTTTAACTTGGGCAATTGATCATTTAAAAGGAAAGTCCCTTATTGTTTGCATCTTAAAGTTGGCATGGACTAGTTTTTTGTATTTTGTTTGGGAGGAGAGAAATCACAGGGTTTTTAGGGGGTCTCTCGATCTGTGAGATTTTTTATTGTATTAGGCTAACTATTTGTGCTAGGCTGCAGGGGTATGGTATTGATAGGGATGATTGGGTAAACTTGCAGCTATGCTTTGAATGGAGAATTATTTTAGCTTTCCCTGGTGTGTGCTTTGTAAGTGTATAGGGGAGTTTTGTTTTATTTGTTTGATATTGTACATCTTTGCTATTTCTTTTTGGATACAATGAAAAATTGATTTATCTAACAAAAATTAAAATAATATCGTTTTAAAAGAATAAAATTTTCACTAAACTAATATCATTCAAAATAAATCATTTTACATCTATGTAAATTCATTTATAACAGCGATGTTAAAGCATACAATTAATGACATTAAAATAACATTGTTTTACAAAAATAAAATTTTCACTAAAAATAATATCATCCAAAACGATATCATTTTGTATCTATATAAAAATTCATTTATAACAACATTGATGAAGAAAGGGTTGACTGATAAAAATTCTAATATATTAAATTTAATAAAAAGTAAAAAAAATAAAATAGAGATTCAATTATTAATTTATCCTAAATAAAAAATCAGTCCAAATATAATTATTCGGGACTCGGAGGTGGAAAAGGAATGTGGACCCCACCATTACTCACCCCAGCCAATCAAATGAACGCAAATGCGATACGTGTCCCTACGCCCAATTCTCCCCCCTATAAACCCTCTAACCGTCATTTTCATTCGGTTTTCATTGATTCACGACACACTCAAAAAACAATGGAGATCTCAGCGGAGAAGATCGAGGATGTCAAGGACCCCTATTACTTTCACCACTCCTACACCGTCCACATCGAAAGCCACCGCATCCTCACCATCGTCACCTACTGCGACGTCACCGCCGCCAGGTGGCTCAAAGACGCCGAGAAAGCCAACAACGTAAGCTCCCTCCCCAACACCCTCGTCGTCGGCTTCTCCGTCGAGCGCAGGTACGACGAGTTCACCCGTCACGGCCTCCTCGACACTCCGTACGATCTTCTCTGCCTCTGCATCGGCTCACATTGCCTCATCTACCTCTTGGATGACCCTGCTACTGCCTACCGCCGCAACTACCGGCCTTCCAAGTTCTTCAATCCCTTCTTCAATAGTCCGAAGGTTATCGTAGTCGGGATGGAGATCAAGGAAAAGGCAGCTCGTTTTTGAATAGGGATTTCGGGGTGAAGATAAAGAACGCCGTGGACTTGAACGAGTTAGCCGTGAAAAGGATGAGGAGGGACGATCTTGATTTGGGAAGGTACGATTTGGATAGGCTTGTCAAGGCGGTGCTGGGGAAACGTATGGATGTCGTGAGGCCCGTGAAGAAACTCGAGTGGTTCAAGGAGACGTATCCGTATTGTTCCCGTGTTGATGAGATGAATGAAATGAAGGTTTTGTTCACAACAACCGATGTTTATCTTTGTTACCGAATCGGATCTCATCTGTTCAGTATGATCCACGGGAATGATTCCTCCGCAGCTGCTTCTTCCAAGAAGAAAGGTCGGAGGAAGAAAAAAAAGGTACGTAAGAAACTGATGAGATATACTGGCTATGATTTTGAGTGGTAATCTGAGGTTTGCACTGTTTGTTTCGTGTGTTCTTTACTTCTTTTTGCTTCAGCTATTATCGGGTGAACTAATTTTCGTAGGACTTTATTTTCTCCGACGACCTTTTGCTGCTCCGTATAAGAAGAAGAAGCGGAACAATAACAAAAATGGCAAGAGAGAGCTGAGATATCATATAATGGACTATCATTTTTACTGGTAACCTGGGGCTTCTACTTTGCACTGTTCGTTTCGTGTTTGCTTTCTTGCTTCAGCCATTATCGGGTGAACTAATTCTCATAGCATTTTTTTTTCTCCGACGATCTTTTATGCGATGCATGCATGATCGAATGAACAGTTTCATTTTCTTTTCCTTCATTCAACTGATACGATAAAATGAAATGAATGATGATGTTTTCTGTGTTCTAAATTCTATTAAAACGTAACCTGTTTGGCTGGCGAGAAAACGCAAAGGAAAACCTAGATTCGATGTGAAATTTTTCTTACTAACAAACAGTTAGCTGGTTAACGGTTTCACTTATCGTTTGAGGATCGGTTGCAGTGCACCAGCATCTGCAAGTTTTTTGGGTTATAACTAACGAGTAACGAACAATCGCGGGTCCACTGTGATTTAGCCACGTATCATCAGGACATAGTTTTGGGCCGTTGAAAGAAATGGGATCACTTCCATTTTCATTTGTTATCGGTTCAAGTATAAATTAAGCGTATGGTTTGGGGTAAATTACGCATTTAATACCTAAACTATTAATTTAAGTACTTAAACTTTTATTTTTTTCAAAAACTTACTTAAAAGTTAATTTTTTTTCATTAAAAATCATATAAAGATGAATTCAAGTATTTAAAGGTGAAAATTGGGTTACTTGTTACAATGGCATGGGGACCAGCATCAATGTCAAACTGAAGTAACGAATGCTATTAAACCTAATGATATATGAAAAAAGGTGAATTAAAAATATGATCATTGAACTTTACTCTCTCTCCTATTTTACTCACTGAACTTTAAAAGTTTTCAATTTCTTCACTGAATTTAATACATTGAGTTTTTTTATCACTGTATTTTACTCTCTATCCTAATATGATCACTCCGTCGTTAAATAGTTAACAGCGTTAAAAATGACGCCGTTTTAAAAAACAAAATTTTTACCAAAACGAAGTCGTTTTGCATCTATACAACAACCCATTTTAACGCCATTAACTATTTAATGACCGAGTGACCAAAAAACCCAATGCATTAAGTTCAATGGAGAAATTGAAAAGATTTTTAGTATAGTAAGTGAAATAGGAGAGAGAGTAAAGTTTAATTATCAAATTTGTAATTTACCGAAAGGGTAAATTACAAATTTCATCACTGAAAAATAAGTTAGGCCTATAGGACCCTGTTTTTATAATGTCCTTTCTGGACAATGGTTGTCAACAAACGATCATAAGCAAAGTGTTTGGTAGACCTGTTCACTAGTCGAATTTGGTATATTTTTTTAAAAAAATCAAGCCTAAATATAATAGTAACAATTTGTCTTGCCATTCAAATGTTAAAAAGTAATAAAATTACAGTGCTAGATGTCAGCTTGAGCTATTCATTATTTGATACGAAGCTATGAAGAACGTGGTTCAAAGCAGACAGTCAAAACTACCATTCCCCTGTATCAAACCCAAAAGCTCAATCTCCCAGCAAACTAAACAAATTTCTGCTGCTCTTCCACTTGTTTTTTAACCGATGAAAATCATCAGATGCCTTTCTTACCATTTATAGTCTTCATTGCAGGAGCGAATGAATCTGGTCCAAAAGCCTCAGACTCACCATGGCCCTGGTTGTTTACTGGTACGACTTCATCTTTTTCGGCATTGTGACGGCTGCTTTCGTTGGGTCCTTATTGGTACTATGGAGGAAAGAAGCTGCATCTAGAAGCGACGAGGAGATAGTATACGAGAGTCTGTTAGCGGCTCGACCGGATGCTGACGGGTTCGTACGTGCTACAACAGGGGATCATGTTGGCTCGAACCAGTTGTGGACTAGTTGTTGGATTAGGGTGCACCCTGTATGGCTAGTGGTCACTCGTTTTGTCTCATTTGCCATTATGGCCGGATTCTTGTCGTGGGATATAGTCGAGTGGGACGCTTCCATCTTTGTTTACTACACCGAGTAAGTTCCTCCATCTTTGTTTCACACGTGTTTACATATATACGTATAGCCGACTCTAGTCTGATGAAACAATTTATTTACAGGTGGACATCTACACTGGTTATGGTCTATTTTGCTGTATGTAAAACAAAACTTACAACCCATTTTCCTCCCACTATATTTCTTTCCACCATTAAAATACATGGCTTTTCTTTGTCTAGCTGGGTACTGCCGTATCTCTTTACGGATGTTGGGTTTGTTTAAGTACACCTCTACCTGAAAATGGTGCAAGGGATCAACTTCTCAAAAGGGAAGTGGAAGAAGGTAAAAATTTATTGAGTTTTAAAATATTAACGAGTATAAGGCTGAAATTTATTAAGTCTTAATATTTTAAACGAGTCTAGAGATTTGACTGAATATAAACAAACGAACATAAACATTGAACTGAATATAAACAAGTGAATTATCGAGCGTGCACGAACATAAATGAGCGAATTAGTCTTTTGTTTGTGTTCGTTCATTTAATTAAACGAATATAAAATTTTGTTCATATTCGTTCATTTAATAAATAAACGAGCTTTTCGTCGAACGATTCGCTGAATGTTCGATTCGTTTACAAGCATACTAAAATGAGCATTGAGGTAGAAAGACTATAAAAGCAGGCAGTGTTGAGCAAGGCTGAAACTTTTTCTTTCCCATTTCAGGAAGATATGCTCCTGAGCATCTTTCTACAATCGTCTGTAATTTTTTTGATATAGTATTTGATTTACTGATCGCTGCGTATGTTTATGTACGTATCTTTCAATCTAATTTATTTTATTTGTCATATTAAGATTCAAACTTTAAATTTTACGGTAAAATATATAAATGATACTCTGATTATAGAGTACTACTTTATTAAGTCATTCGACTATTAAAAATTATAAAATTATCCTCCGATTATAGAGTATTGCTTTGTTGAGTCTCTCTCAACTATTAAAAGTTACAAAATGGTCATCTTATGTTACAAACTTGTTTTTTTTTATTAAAAAATTGATTGTATTCTGAGTTGAACGTCAACCTACTGATTGTGATGTTATAAAATTTGATCATTGAATCTCAGACGACTATCATATATTAGTCGTCATGTTAACGTTCATCTTAAACAACCGTCAATTTTTTAAAGAAAAAGGTTGGGTTTGAAACATAATGAATAGTCGAGTTATCATTATGTAACTCTTAAACGCGCTATAATTGGAGGAATATTTTGTGACTTTTAATAGTCAAATGACTTAATAAAGTAACATCCTATAGTCAGGGGACCATTTGTGTACTTTACCCTAAATTTTATTTGAATAATTTAATGTATCATCGTTAAATTTTGATTTTTTGTTTTGAATTGGAGTAGCCATTTCGGGCCTTGACAACATAACATAACCCTTCTTTCAAAGCCCCAAATTTTTCATTACGCCTAAAAACAGTACACTACCTTTGCAACTTCCATTGTTCCCAGTTTCCACTGTCTAAGTTCTCAACAATGTCGGACTCGCACATGAAACAAAGCCAATGCATCATACGTAGCAGCCTATACCTCGGAGAAATCTCAGCCGTCTGTTTGCTCCACTTCCCCTCTCATCTCTCTTCCTTTCCTTATCTCCTAGCCGGTATAACTTTTCTTCCCTCAAATACCACCTCAACATGATATTCTTTTTCTTCTTTTAAAAATGTCTAAACTTTTACTCTTTTCAAACCAGGAACTGGTTCTCAAATTCTTATTTATGATCTAGAATCAACAAAGATGATCCAATCTTTTCAAGTCTTTGAAGGTATTCGCGTGCATGGACTCATTTGTAGCTTGCCTGATAATACTTTAACTTGTAAAGTTGTTGTTTTCGGTGAAAAGAGGGTGAATTTTTTTAACTTAAGCTCTGAATCGGTGTCGAAGTCGAAAACCCAGAGTGAGTTTCGCGTGGACTTGAGCTTAATTCATTCTTTGCCGAGATTTACTCATTGGGTTCTAGATATTTTGTTCTTAAAGGTAAAGTATTTTTTTTGTTTTCATTCACTACTGTTTATTAAAAGTTTGAACTTGCTTCCTATGTTCCATTTTTTTCTGTTAACGTTTGTTATTGTATTGGTTCTAGGACCATTGTCTGCTATAGGATGCAGTGACAACTCTGTCCATGTTTGGGATATGTTGAAGTCTAGTTTGGTTCTTCAAGTTCAATCTCCAGGTTAGTTGTATCTAAATTCTGGGAATTTTTATATAACATATTCACTATTCATGTTGTACAGCAAGTTCTGAGTTTTATTGATGATTTTTTAAAAGAAAAAAAGATTTAGTTCCTTTTCGTAACGTTTATTCTTGCAAATCCCTCTTAATTTATGTAGATAGGGCCTTTTGTATTCCATGCGATTATGGGGTGACAATGTTGAGGCTCTTCGAATTGCATCTGGTACAATTTATAATGAGGGGCTTGTCTTTCCTTGCAATGAATACTTCTCTTTTTTGTAATGCTCTCGCATTTTTTGGATTTGCTTGAATTTCTAAGTTTTGGTTCTTAGTTGAAGTATGGTCCTTTGTCAATAACTAGCTAAATGATGGTGGACCGTGGTTGTTTTCATAATATAATCATTATTATCATCTTTAAAGGGTTACGCTCTGTAGTGGTAACTTCAGTCCTCTGCACTGCCAACATTAAGTGATCTCTCGCTAACCAAATTTGTTTAAGCAGATTATAGTTTGGAAAGTCATTTGTCAACATGATTCACCGAGTTCAGTGAAAGTTTGCAAGAACTTAAGCAGCTCCACTTCCAACTTTTCCGAGTGTTATGATCAGGAGTATAAAGCTGTTCACATATGTAGACTTGTGGGACATGAAGGTTCAATATTTCGCATTGTCTGGTCTTCTAGTGGAGCCAAACTTGTTTCTGTCTCAGATGATCGGAGGTGAATAAGTTTTTTTTAACTACTTTGTTTCTGTTGTTCTACTTTATTCTGGAAGTTATGTGATGGATTAATATGGTTTCTTGATTCAATAGTGCTAGAATCTGGACAATTCCTGGTCTGCAAAGTGATTGTGATGACAAAAGGGAGGTTGTTGGCCCTGTGCTTTTTGACCATACTGCTCGGATTTGGGATTGCTGTATTTCTGATAATGTAAGATTAATGTAATCCTGCTGCACTAGTACTTGCTCTATTCTTACTGGTACATGTAAATTTTAAGAACAGTGAACTAAGAATAATAATATCTGTGATTGATTAAAAGTTTTTAGCTGTTCTATGAGTTTAGTCACATGTTTGATGTTCTTTACAAATTCCAAAGTGCAGTGTCTGAACTGCATCTGGAATTAATTTGTTTCGTAGCTTGGTTTGGGTTTCTCTATCAGATTGATTTTTTTATGGTTTCTGTTAGTTAATCATTACTGCTGGTGAGCACTGCACATGTCGTCTTTGGGGTCTGGATGGAAAGCAGCTTAGGATGATCAAGGAACATATGTAAGTTTTGATTCCAGATTTTTGTACTCAAGTTTGTTTTGTCCTTCTGAAATACTATGTGATATTTTATATTGAAATTCTGGAAATTTTGGGAGGTAATCTTTGTTGAATTAGCCTAAATCTGATCAAACTAGTATTTTACTACAATATAGATATATTACTGGTGCAGAGGAAGAGGAATATGGAGATGTTTATATTATCCAGATTCTTCACTTATCGTTACTGCTGGGTTTGACTCTGCAATTAAAGTTCACCAGTTGCACACTTCTGTTTGTAAGACATTGGAGTTGAAGGGAGATTCTGAATCTGAAGGTATAATTGAGGGAGCACAGATAATCACTACTTGCATCCCAAATTCAATGGAGCATGCTAGACTCATGGACAGGCACAATTTTCCATCACATTGCCGCTAAGTATTGGTCATGCCACCTAGATTCCATTACAATGTTATCAGCTATAAAGAAACTTTATAAATTAAAAAAAATTGTAATAACTTTCTGATAGGTCATATATAGCAATAAGTAGGTTTTCCTAGATAGCACCTCTCTTGAGCTCCTGGCGCTGATTGACATATGATATATCAATGCCTCTTTAACCAATTACAAAAGAATTGAAATTTCTGCTATGATGCTGGCATCTGATATGTTCAGCTGAGTATCTAGTGGTCGCTAGGATCAAAACTCATACCTTATGGATCACAAACTTCTGCTCCCTGCCCCTTTGCCTTTGCATTCTTTGTTTATTTCTTTCATTTTTGTATTCTGGTTTTTTTGTATCATATGCTTATTATCAATTTTCATTGTTTGTTCTGTTGTTGCAGCAAAAGTGAATATGTGCGCTCCTTGTATTTTAAATGTGAAGATATCATTTACGTTGCTACAAATAATGGTTATCTGTATCATGCTCTATTATCTGAGACAGGGGATGTCAAATGGACTGAACTGGTCCATGTCAGTGGAGAGGTTCCTATTGTTTGTATGGATCTGTTGTCCGCAAGCCTTTCCAAAAATCATTGTGGTATAAATGATTGGATTTCTGTTGGAGATGGTAAAGGAAACATGACAGTTGTTGGAGTTACAGGTAATCGTTACTCACCTCAAGTGGGCTTCACCTTTACTTGGTCAGCTGGAGCAGAGAGGCAACTCTTGGGAACTTACTGGTGTAAGTCACTTGGATGTAGGTAATGACTTTTCTTTATTAATATGATTTTATCTTGATTTTGATTATCTGTCTAGTATTGCTTGTCTGAGCAGTAAAAATCTATACACTTGAATTTATTAATCGTCTAGATCATTTATAAATGCATTTGCTGTTTTATGAATATGATAACATGATTGGTAAAGAAGTGAAGCTCTTATGCTGCATTTTCCAATGCAGAATTTGTAATTTTCCTGCTGATAACCTTGCATTGAAAGTCGAGACACATCTTTAGTCTCATGCTTTACTTTGAAGACATAGAGGATTTTGAAATATCATCTTTTCTGTTATCTAGGTATGTCTTCACAACTGATCCCAGAGGAATTTTGAAGCTGTGGAAGCTATATGACCCCTCAATATCTGTTTGTCTGGATTCTGGAAGAATTTCCCTTATAGCAGAATTTCCTTCATGCTTTGGAAAACGAATTATGTGTTTGGATGCATCATTTGAGGAAGAGGCATGTTTACCCTTCTTTTTTTTGGTTGACCTCAATGGCTCTCCTATGGATTTAAGATGGAGATTTTTAAAATATAGAAAAGCTTTTTCAGTTTCAACATTGAAGAAACTGTTGTTAATCCGAAGCCTGGTTTGATTGAGTTTACTTGGTTTGCAATACGAAATGAAAAAAAAAAAGAAGATTTATGAATGTTCATACTACATATTATTTATTTTTATGTAACCTAACTTGTGCTTTTGCAGGTGCTGGTATGTGGAGATCTGCGTGGTAATCTGGTTCTGTTCCCTTTATCAAAGGAGCTGTTGCTGTCCACATCTGCTTCTTTAGGTGTAAAGATATCTCCACTAAGCTATTTCAAAGGAGCTCATGGGATTTCAACCGTGTCCAACATTTCAGTTGCTAGATTAAGTCACAGTCAAATTGAAATCCGAACGGTATGATTTGAATCCCTAGTACAAGGAAAATATTGGAATAATAACTCTATCTTACATTTTCTCTATGGTCTTGGTATTTTTAGGAAGCTTTTACCATATAGAGATTAAAAAATGAAATATTCGTAATAAATTTAAGATGTATCTTATACTGTTTGTTATCCCCTCGAGGAAAAGGGATAATTTCTGTTACGAAATTCATATGAACGTTCATTAGCCTTAAGAAAGGGAAAATCGTGGAGTACCATAAAATGATTGATGCATCCATTAGCCTTTGGGAAATGGTTTGTTGCATTTTGCATGTCTGCCTGTGTGTTCATATTTCTTCATGATCAAGCATTTGTAAGCATGTTAACTACTTTCTGATTTCCTTTCTTTTTTTTCAGACTGGAGCAGGGTGCCTATGTTATTTTGAATACGAAAAGGGCCGAGAAAGTTTTGAATTTATAGGAATGAAACAATTGAAAGAATTGAGTTTGATTGAATCCGTTTGCTGACTTAAAATCTGATGATGATCTGACAAGCTGCGACTATGCAGCTGGTTTTGCGTCAACAGATTTCATAATATGGAATTTGATAACTGAGGCAAAGGTATTCTTCCCCCGCCCTCCCTCCTTCGATAACGGAGGTATGAATCTCTTTAGGTTATACTTTTTTGGCTAAATGTTTTCATTGGCACAGGTTCTGCAAATTCCATGTGGGGGGTGGCGCCGCCCTCATTCTTATTACCTTGGTGATGTACCAGAGATAAGGAACTGCTTTGCGTATGTCAAGGTATGTTTACTTCTATTGTTCAAACCTGCATCCTTTGAGAAACATCGGGAAAATGCAAATTTTTACTTTAATTTATGCGATTCACCTGCCTGACTGATGACTTGTACGGATAAGGCACCGTTGGCAATCACTCAACAGGAAGCCACATCCTTGGAATCTCATGAACAATAAAGCATATTTTTGGTGATGTTACCTTTCTCGAGTTTCTGTATCTTCTGCGCACATCATTTAATTTTCAATAATTTTTGCAGGATGAAATTATCTATATTCATAGGCATTGGTTACCAGAAGGTGTGGGGGGGAAATTCCCCCGGAATTTACACTTACAGTTTCACGGGAGAGAGATGCATTCATTATGCTTTGTCTCTGAAAATTTTCAAGCTAAAGGAAATGAAGAGGTTGTTGATAAATTTAGCTGGATTGCAACTGGATGTGAAGATGGAACTCTGAGGTTAACTAGGTATGTTGATAGTCATATGTCATTTAGAATGTGGTTCGATGTTTCTTCGTTTTGTACATATATTTTGTTTTGTTGGGGAAACTTGGAATGGTTGACCTTAGAATGTGTGTCCCATATGTTCTTCCCTTGTTTTTATCTCATCGATTCGTGCCCATTAATAGAGCATCTTATAATGTTTTACGGGTGGTTCAGGTTTACTTCGGAAATGGAGAATTGGTCTGCATCAAAATTGCTCGGGGAGCATGTTGGTGGATCGGCTGTTAGATCAATATGCTTTGTGTCAAAGACACACATAATTCCTTCAGATGTATCCACCATGCCTGACTTGGAGAAGGGACAAAACGACACTTCAGATGGCAAACAAAATCCATGTTTGCTGGTTTCTGTCGGTGCAAAGCGAGTTCTGACAACTTGGTTACTACGAAATAGGACTCTGGATGAGGAAGAAATATACCCAGGACAAAAGCTTAACAGATGTGAAACCGGGTTATAATCCAATAATCAAACAGTGTTCATCAATATCATTTAGGTGGCTCTCCACTAATATGCCGGTTAGAAGTTCCGTCATGGGAGGAAGCGAAAAAATCGTGAGTGCTGCCAATGAAGTTGCTGGCCTCAATAATGATGCAAAGATCAGAACAACTACTGCAGCGA